AGTAGAGAAGAGCAAGGCAGAGGAGAGCAAGAAAGAGGAGAACAAGGCAGAGGAGTGCAAGGCACAAGAGAGCAACTTGGAGGAGAGTATAGCAGAGAAGAGTAAGGTAAAAGAGGTCAAGGCAGAAGAGAGAAAGGCAGAAGAGAACAAGAAAGAGGAGAGCAAGGCAGAGGAGAGCAAGGCAGAGGAGGTAAAGACAGAAGAGAGCAAGGCAGAGGAAAGCAAGGCAGAGCAGAGCAAGAAAGAAAAGAGCAAGGTAGAAGAAAGCAAGGCAGAAGAGAACAAGAAGGAGGAGAACAAGAAGGAGGAGAGCAAAGCAGAAGAGAGCAAGGCAGAGCAGAGCAAGAAAGAAAAGAGCAAGGCAGAAGAGAGCAAGGTAGAAGAGAGCAAGGCAGAAGAAAGCAAAGCAGAGGAGAGCAAGGCAGAAGAGAGTAAAGGAGAGGAGAGCAAGGTAGAGAAGAGCAAGGCAGAGGAGAGCGAGAAAGAGGAGTGCAAGGCACAAGAGAGCAACGTGGAAGAGAGTATAGCAGAGAAGAGTGAGGTAAAGGAGGTCAAGGCAGAGGAGAGCAAGGCAGAGGAAGTCAAGACAGAAGAGAGCAAGAAAGAGGTGTGCAATGCGGAGGAGGCCAAGGCAGAGGAGAGAAGGGAAGAGGAGGTCAAGGCAAAAGAGAGCAAGGCGGAGGAGAGCAAGGTGGAGGAGTGCAAGGCAGAAGAAGGACACAAGCCGGTGCCTCAAGGGGATCAGTCTACAAACGATGTGAAGGTGGACGAGTCTGCTCCAGTTTGTGGTTAGTTACTTTTATAAACGAAAATAAATTTCATTTCGAGCCCTCAAACACATTAAGTGCTTAAATGTCTTTTTAGAAAAACAACTGCAGGATTAATGCAAGTGGATTCAAATGTCTGAACAAGGTGTATAATATTTCAACATATTCGTGCTTGTAACAACTTGAATTTTGTCTTATAAGTATTTGAGAGTGTGACCTTGTGCTTCAATAAAAAAGCTTGATTTTATGTTTTACACGAGGTTTTCATGACGTGTTTCTCTTATTTTGATATAAATAACTCAAAGTAATCGACTAACTTAATTGGCAATTTTAAAATCATGCCACCGATTCTAGGGTGTTTCAAAAAAACTTTAGATAGAATTCTTAAATTGCGATGCGTTATAGTTTCTGAATTTTGAAAAAGAACAATTGCAACCGAAAAGTCGACCAGAATACATTTGGCAAATACTGAATATCACTCACAAAACATATGCTTTTAAGAGTTCCAAGCTTTCACGTTAAGAAGGTGGCTTTAGCAAATTACGTCACCGAGATTTGCAACCAATGTCAACGCCAATCGGTGATTTTTTAATTTATATTCACGATTCCTCTTAGAACTTTAATCGTAGGGATTTAGCTCTGAGTGGTGTGTCAATAGTGCACAAATTTTTTATACCTGTTCATGTTACCAATCATGTACAAGTATTCCTGCAAGTCACGTGGCGAAAAACGAACAAATGAGATAAATTATTCAGGTGTTTTATAAGTAATAGTCAACAAAATCTTTGAAAAATGTCATTCCACTATCACCTGCTGCAGTAATTTAGCCGACATTAGCAAAAATTTAGTTACTCCATGGAAGGTCACGCAGGGTTAGGTTGAATTCTCACGAACCCTACCATGAGACCTCAGCGTTGGGTATTTGCAACACCAGGCCTGTGAGGACCCATAATGCCTTTTGAAGGAGACATTAATGAGACCAAGCGCAGCGCCATTCCGACGTGCATGCTGAGGTTGCCAGGACCACTTCACCACAAGTCGTCAGTTTTGGTAGTACAAAAGAACAGGACCTGTACAAAATGCTATACCAGCCTTTGGTTCCACGAACAATTTGTGGCGTGTACACCTGCAGCTGATGTTCCCACACTATCGAATGTGATAGATGTTCTGAAGCGTGGAGCTGTGTCACAAACTGACTGCGCCTCTCTACGCAGGCCGGACTAATATTACGAACATTTGGCATTATGGTTCCACTGGGATGGCGTCGCCCTCTCAAGCAATAAGCCATTGCTCCTTCATTCCCAAAAAACGCAGTGGCCAGTATTTGGCGTTTTGAGAGATGTCAGATCTACTATTGGGCATCGCAATGGTTCCATGCAGATCGATTAAATCGACTCGATGTCACAGCTGTTTGAGAAGCACGATTTATGAACGCTTAATGCTTTTGTCAAACTCATTACACATCTGGTAGGCAAATTTTTCTGCTTGGTTGGTGGTAGGACGCAGAATAGAGGAATAAACCTGGAAAATGTTAAGCCTTTTTGGAATCTTTTAATCAAAATAAGTTATTGACTTAAAAGCAAAACTAGTAAACGGAAACACATTATACAGAGCACTGTAGGTTCGAATAGATAGGCTGAATGATTACAGACGTGATATTCCTACGACAAATAGCCAAATAATAGTCACTTCAAAGGATTTTTGAATGATGCTGAAGTTGAGCAATTAGCTTTGACAAAATCATATTAAAGTTAGCTAAATACACGCGTATTTTCTAAGACGGTGTTATAAAAGTTGGCCAAAAGTGTGGTTCATTTGCGATTGCGTCTTGAACTCACTGACCAATCACTAACACAAAACCCACAACTACGCTCGAGAATTTGCCTGTGAGAATCGCGTCCCCCTGTTTAACCTTTCGATTAACAAGCGAAGACTGATGGGTGGGCGTGTTTACTGTGCGAACACGCTTAGGGCGGTTGAACTGTTCAGCTAGTCATCCGGAACCGTTAACTAGAATTTGCACAAAACGCATTACTGTCGTACTCTGTACCTTCAGTTTTGCCTACTTTAACTAACCATTCAAGATTACACTTGATATTTTGTGGATGAAGATTTCCGGTTGAGTCAACAACCCTGACGTGCTTGCGGTTAGCAACCACGCCTGCCGTATAAGGGTGATCGGCAACACTCATTAAGGCCTCGATCAGTGCGTCAGTTGTTATCGCGTTGGTCAGTTTTATGCTGGTGCTTGCTTGCCATCACGCGGTTGTGTCACCGGTGGTTAATGAGGTCCACGTGAAGAACGATGTGTTTAGCCAAAGTCGAGTAACCATCCAGTCTATTTAGCAAGGCGCTTGCAGATGATCGATCCTCCTCTGCCACCTAAAAATGCGGTAATTTGTGTGCATTATTGTTGTTTTCCGTTTGAATATCCTCATAACGTCATCTTTATTTGTCGCAATGAAAAAACAGCACATAATTGGTGATATAGAATTGACTTGCAGCCGGTAAACCAGCACCACAGGTTAAATTGAAGCAGGGAAGGCACATTTGATCTGCATTATTTTCCATTTCGGTCTATCCTTCGTAGAATGCTGTGCTGGAATTATCGAAAAAAACGTTTGCCGTGATATTATGCCGCATTTGAAACTACTGACAACTTTACGTAGTTACTTAATCGGCAAACAGAAGGAATTCTCGTGAACAAATTTACTCATTGAAATTGTTTAGTGTGAAATCTGAGCATCACAAATATAATTTTTACTTCTAAAGGTGCAAACCCAGCTTTAACGTTACTTTTTTACAACCAGCACCTGTGCATCCTTGTTTTCAGCAATGAATCCCACAAAAAGGAAAAAAAGCCTGTCTACTTAGCCTCCTTTTGTACACAATATTAGAGAAAGCGTCAATTTTGCTGTTTATTGAGGGCACCTACGAAATACATAAATGGTGTCTGGCTGATCAAAAGTGGACTTAGTTTTGATTACTTTAACGTCGATAGTCACGTATATCTTAAGAAAAAAATAAATTTTGTATTGATTTTCCATTTAAGGCAGAAAGTGAATTTTGGGGAGAACCAACGTCAAACAAGGTAGGGTTTCACGTGATCCGCTAAAAGCTTTAGCATGTAACGTTATTCTGATACATCCAAAAACAACAATTTGTACCATATCAGCGCCACAAAATCCTCTAGTAATTGTTTTTATCCTTCAGGGGCCCGTACTGAACTTTTTACAGGGCATAATGGACCGCATAAAGAAAGTAAGTGGAAGTCCATCTGTTGAAAACCAAAGCACCGGTAGTGTGTGTGTACCTTCGACTTGTTTATATCCTGTCCAATCGAGTACACAGAACACTGCCGACCCACCGCATCTCTGCATTGGAGTCCTATCGTACACAAAATCTGCCTCAGCGTCTGATTTATTAAAAGGGCTGTCATTGCGTTGTAAAAAAGTTGAAACAGAACAGGCCCAATTTAGGAAATCTAGGTGGCGTAAGAACAGGTGGTGGCTGGAGACCTCGAAAACGGGAATAGGATGCTAACAATCCGGCCGAGAATTGTGACATAGTTGTTTAAAGGTGCAGTTAAGGTGGCGTGAGGAATGCCGCATCCATTTGATACAACTGTTTGACATAGTCTATTAGGGTGTCGGGGAGCGTTAAGACGCAAAATCATGGAGACTAGCAGCATGTGCTTTTAAAATCAAAAGCATAAAACAAAATTACCTCATTATGCTTTGTTTTTAATGAAAAAATCATGCGTATTTTCGGATTCCAGATTGCACCATCAAGAAAGCACAATAACGTAAGATTTGTTCTGGTTAAATACTCAACTTACCATGACAACTGTGTGTTTCTAAAGACATCAATTTTACTCATTTAAGTTGTGATTGCCATTTATTTTAGAAAAAGGTTAAATGCGAAGACTGCGAGGCCGAAGTTAAGGGCTGCGCTTTGCTAACGGTCTGCTTAATTAATTAGTCAATTTACTCAATACACACTCACACGGCGTGTGCTGTGCGTTCTCTTCTTGCAAAAGGACGAGATTGACTTGGTGTTGTCATCCGCATTTTGGACTCTTTCATTAAACAAACCTTCAGTCAAAATGCCTCACTGGCTGGAGTTGACGTTCTGAGACACAAGAGTGAAAGAAAACGACCTAACAGACATGAGCAGATTGTGAAGCGACCCGCTAATACACACAGGTATAGACGGAATATCACCGCGTAACAGTAACTGCAGTCCATTTAGTTGGTACCTTGGTTTCTAAGAGTATGCGCACGTAGGAGTACAAAAAGGCAGCTGAGGGATTCGGCGTTGAAGGCCTACAGATAAAAGCTAGAGCACTGACCGTCTCAGAGCTATGGCCATCAGATAATGACACAATTCTACCAAAGGGACCAAGACGGCGTCCAGCCTAGTTCAGAGGTCGCGAACACAGTCACATTATCAACAAAACGCTTAGCAAAGAGGTTAGGTGCTCGAAGTCTGTTATCATGTCAGATATAAACATGGAGCAGTTGGGTTATACGTAGATTTAGAATCTAACAAGAGGAGAGTTGAGTAAGAGGTGCAGAGCACAGAGACCACATTGGTTCTTGATAATATTGATTAGTAAAATTTATTTGGTGTGGTGAAGCAGCACTGGAAATTAGCCCATATTAATTAATCAAAATTCGCCTTCAAGTATCTCTTAAGATTATATGATCCAGCTTTGTCCTGCAGGCGGTCCTCTACCGCTTTCTTCTGTCGTCAGGTGTTGCGATTTCGATGACCATGTTGGAGTCAAATGGTCTCAACCGAATCTTCGTTGTGCCTCTTGCCGGACATTAATAGGCACTGAAGACGAGCTAATACAAAAACGAACAAGGCTAAAATCTGTTGAATTCATAGAGAGGAGCCCAAGAACTAGGGCACATTCAAGGGGTGATAGTTACTGGGTTTTTAAGGGACGCGAACCATTTGCATTAAGTGCTACTCAAATATTTACGTAGCATGTCACTACAACAATAAATTAAAAAATACGGGTCACCAGAGTTTACTAGGATTCAAGTTGCAATTAGCAATAGTACAGGAATATGTTAAAAAGGGCAAAAACCTTAGGGACTCACAACAATCCTAGTGACTCTGTCACTAGGAAATAAGTGACCATTAATTTAGGACTGTAGTTAAGTCACGATGATTCCAAAAATTAAGTAACTGGAAACAAGTCCATATAAAAAAATGGAAAATCGAATTTATGTTTAAATAAATGGATTCGTGCACCACTAAGAGTTGCGACCGAAATGATAGTACCACTGGAGTGCAGTACAACTTCTATAAACATATTAACCTTAGATTCAGTAAAGTAATACCTCGGTTTATAGATTTCAATGAGCGTTCACTCTTCGATTCTCGAATGAAGTGTATAGTGCAGGTTCAAGAAAGGGAGCCTGACGCTCGGTATTTGCAGATGTTGGATGGGATGGGTGGCTTAAGAATGTCAAGGCCTTTGGTTGTCGCTTCTGATTTTTAGGGCTACATGACAGACAATTGAATGAAGCCGGTTTTAAGAGGATGCAAGATGCAGGTGGGAAGAACTATCCATTGCTGCTCGAATGCACCACCAAATCGGTGTTTTTGTCAAATTAAAGTATCGAGATATCTCACAAGTCGAAAGTATGAGATAACAGTGCGTTGCTTCGACAAACCAGATCTCCAAAATTACACAAGCTATCAAAAGCTAAAAAAGGAAGATATGGACTTCCGTTTTGCTGACCACAAAACTACCACTGTTTATAGAACAGATGTTTAAAAAAACTTGTATACATATCACGGGAGGCAGCTTTTAACCAATGGTTTCAAACACTAATAACCCCGGAAAAGCAAATACTGTTTATAAAACGAAAGCTAGTTGATGGAAATGACTTCATGACCAAATTTACGCACCGTAGATGTTAATCTGACACAAGACACGGATTTTCTTAAAATCTCGTCGTTCGTTATCGCCCACAGAACCCACTGACAGAGGGAATGGTGGCGAGGCAGCATGATGGACACAAATGTGTACACATCAGCCGGGTATCACACGCGCTTGTATTTGTAGGGCACTTGTGAACGGGGCAGTTGGTTACATGCACAGAACAGTGTGGTGTAAAGGGTGTCAAAGACACTAACCATTTTAAAATTAACTTCCTGGACAGGGCCCACTAATGATCCTTCACTGACAGTTCGCTACGGACCAATCAAATTTGTTTGCTTTTAATTAATCGATGAGGCAGCTTTCATAAAAGATTCCACTTGGCCACTGCCAGACCGGTGTGGGGTGTTCGATATGTGCAGTTGTAGCAGACGAGTTTTAAGGCGCAGGATGCCGTAGCGCGCATCAGCGACCAACGCAGAAAGCGTTTCGCGTTAGAATGATGCGAACGGCCACATTCACACCAGCAGGTGGGGTGAGTCATTCGACTGCCTTGCACAATTTACTAGCTACAAACCGAAAATTCACGGGCTTTATGAAGCGGATAACCTACACATTCATCAGTAACGCAGAAGGCAGACGTGAGGGATGTACAAAGCTTTTGTGGATAATTCTGTGACACCCTCACTATTGAAAACCTACGGGTACCAACTATGATGTAAGTAAAAGTACACTGGCCATCACCTGATCCATCGCTTTAACATTATGCCATGCCTTCTCCCACGAAGATTGGTCGATCACCGATGACTTGAAAGCGATCGCGGAGGGTCTACGCGGTGACGTAGTTTTACATTTCACAAAAAATGAAAAGCCCTTGTCGCCATCGTTGGTGCCCCTGTCTCGGCGTGAAACTTGCTCAAATGGTTGTTGAAACGAACTCACTATCCGAGACTGCGCCCCAATTGTTTGGTCTACCAGCTTCAATCCAGCATCCCATGCAACTCCTAATCATATTTGTCAGCGCTGATACATGCGACTCCGGTTAGTGGGTAAATAAAACAAATGCGTCGGCACAGTTTTCCAGGTCTTCGTCAACTTCTGAGTTCTCCGCGTGGTCCGAGGCCACAGAAATTGGCGATCGCGACAGGGCATGATAATAGCCTTCTCGTGTCTCATCACCTGGATCAGACAGCCACGACAATGACCATTCCATTCGTGCGTGAAGTGAATGCCAAGTGAAAGGCTATTGTTAGCCAAATACCTGAGATGCAAACAACAACCCACACTAAACGGTGCGATGCGAAGATCAAAAAGCATACAAACTAGGCGCAGGCCTGGCTTTTGATAAAAACACGAACGGCATCAACAAGGTCCCAATAGAGAATTGTGGACAAAGGAATTCTCGTAATCTACTTAAATTAAGTTACCCAAACGTACTAAAGACAGCATTACTTCTAATCAACCCATAAAGCTAACCGGGTTCTTTGATAAAGGCAAATTCAAGGTGTATTACTTGGCAAAAAAGCCTATCTCGAATGAAAGACAAACAAATTAACCAATGCCAAATTTCTCCAGTAGTGCGGTAGCTCGCTCCTGATTTGCTTTAATTTTTTCTAACTCTACCTTGAGCATTTCCTTGTCTTCAAGGAGTTGGGAGAAATCTGAGCGAAGGAGGTCGTATGCGGGGCTCCCCTCAACGGGTTCCAATACGTTTATTGTCTCCAAGTTTTGGCCGCATAGAAATGCGTAATCCGTCGCGAATTCCATGGCCTCTTTATATCGGATTACCGGATCTAAAAGGTGCGATTGCGAACATTCGGCAGAAATGATAAAAAAAGCGCACCGACACAATGAGAAAAGAGAATTTAATAGGGTCGCCAATGGGCGTTGGGGCTGATTTAATCCTGAAACTCCCTTGAGTGAGAAAGGACAGCCACACTAGCTGTGGTTCAATTTGCAATCAATCATTTGATACAGGCTGCATCTAAGTAATGCTTGGCACGATAGAAAAATGCGATAATTAAACATCAAAATTAACTCCTAAGTAATGAGAGGCCCTACTTACTGCCTCGAATAACTCCGGCATTATGGCTGATAACATCAGCGATAAATAAAAAAAATAACAGGATCAACCTACCTTTTGCGTTGGGATGGGAATCAGTCATTTTAAGGCTACAAGAAAAGTACAGTGGTACACTTCTCTACAATAAAGCGAACGATTTCATCAAATTCGAGAGCAGTGAAATGAATTTATTTGATGAAATGTTTGAAACACAAGATTAACTAAATCAGAAGGAATTGTATAAATATAAGACAATCAGATAATTAAATGCAGTTAAATAAGAGTAGCAGATTGAATACGCTCCATTACGGGTGCGAAATGCAGTCAACATGCACGATTGATTTGTTGAAGAAATATTACTGATGATAAACACCTCCGGTAAGAGCTGAGCCAGAACGTGGCGGTGGCACAGGAATCCGTCGACTGGAAAGTTGTTCTTGGCTACTTCGTTTCACAAAACCCGGCTGTTTAGCATCGCTCCAACCGTAGGAAGGCAGTGCCTCATTGCTGGGAAACCTCGGCCCCTTGTCTAAATACTGCCTTCTAATGGGACCGGGAAGACGAGACGGAATTTTATTCGAACGTCCCACGATAACCGCTTGCTGCCCACCTGGTGAAAGAATGTTTTCGGTAGAAGAACCGCCAATAGGAGGCTGTGGTGAGTCAACACTATAGCGGAGAGTCGGCATGGATGGAGGTGGGGGAAGGGTGCGACCGGGGATACTGGCCTCTCCCCCACCTCCCACCAAGTCCTCATTGCTTTCTCCACGGCAGTACATTGCTTGACGATGGCTGTCCAGCGAAAGCCTAAGAGATGTCATTTGTTGTTTTGCTATATCACTTGGTGTCGGACTAGAAGAGACGTTCAGCCGTGACTGACTAGCGTAAGGACTTTCAGGGCCACTTCGGTTAGCCGAGTTAAGAGACTGTTGACTGCTTCCCATCCGCGAGGCATGCTGATAGGCTGAGATTGCAGCAACCTCTGCCTTTAGCTCGTCTTCTTGCTTTCGAGCGATTGTTTGGAGATCCGCCACATTTTGAAGATCATCAGTAGACCCAGAGGGTTTAACAGGAACTGGGGAATTAGTGCCACCAGGTGAAGACCGCTGACGCGCGTGCTGTGGAAGCATCTCAGAAGCATGTCTCTTTGGTCTAACAAAGGTTGCAGTGCTACCAGGGCCAAAATTTTGTTCGCTCCCGCCCCCGATAAGGCGTGTCTTAGAAAGTGATGGCTGAGAGATATTTGATGCCATATTGAGAGCGGGAACGCTGCCACCCAGATTAGGAAGTCGTTTGGCAGGCTCAGTAGTAAGGATCACTTCAAGGCGATACAAAAGGTCGCACCGGTGGTGATAGAACTCAGACGAGGGAGAGTCAAAAACCTCTCTTGCCCACTGCAGGCAGGATGTATTTGAGAGAAAAGAAGGCGATCCTGTCAATTCGTGTGGCTTAAAAAGCCAGCACTCTTCCTCAGGAATTTCATCAAGCGTATTTGCTGAATGAAGTGATGTTTTTGTTCGAGATGGGAGAGAGGCGCTGATGCTAGCAAGTTTACCGCACGAGGCAGAGATTTCGTCGCCATCAAACTCGGGTGGATCTCTAGGGGAAATATTACAATGCCCTTGACCCACTTTCTGTATGCGAACTGAGTCTTCAAAGGAGTCGATAGTGGCTGCAGTCATTCTATACAAAATAAAGCAAACAACGAACCAAAAATGAAGCCAGTAAAAGTGTACAAAAAATACAGGTAGCTGAATGTTTAAAAAACAAGAAAAACTGAGCTAAAAGGTAATAATATGCGAATATCCGCTATATGAAGGAGAAAAAAGCAAGTATGCACATATTGCCGATATTCAACGGTTTTTGTAACAAGATAGAGCATCTAATATACAGATTACATTAACATACAAACAAAAATACCAAAAGCTACTCTAACGAGCAGGCGAAAAATAGCAGTATAGGTCAAAGAATAGACTTTGACTCACAAATCGCACGAACATCTATAAAGACAATCAGAAGAAATTCGCTAAAAAAGATGCCAGCAAAGGTCGTGAAGCATCATTATTATCACTCCATTGGAAACAATTAATACAGTCACGATTACAATTAATGGAATAGTAATCCTATTTACCATAAATAATATTGACATTACATCTTATGCAGCTTTAAAATTCTGAACCAGCTTGATTAATTGGGTGCAAAATTTTATATCCATCTTTACCACTAAATTCCCAAAATTTTAATAGTCTAACTTTTGGAGACATGCGTTACGCAAAGTTCAGTTTGAATATCGAGATGCAGATTTATCTATATTAATGCAAATTAATGAACAGTCACCCATAATTGATTCTAAAAAAGCTGGAATTTTACCACGTTTCCACAGTTTACGCCACATGTTTGTGCATTTATTGAAATCTTACATCATTTTATCGAATTTCTTTTACAAAGCGTTGAAATTAAAATAGATTTCGGCACAAATACCTTACTTAATTTCTTAAGGTGCAAGTTGCCGAAATGTGGCTGAACGTACCATGATTTACGTTTTCAAGTTTTCAATTGAATTTTTTAAATAACGAATTAGGCAGTTTCCACTGTTTTAGCTAAAAACAGAACGTGTGTTTTAATATATTTCTGCGTCATTTACCGAAGGCTTTCGCGTTCTTTGGTTTTACTACCTGACCAACCAGGCGAAGCGATCTTTTCCTAAGTTAAGGATGGGGGATCTTCTGGTCTATTTCGCCGCCTTTTTATTGTCTATAAACTCTGTGATTTCGGAAAAAGTACTGGTATCGATGCCTGGGGCTTATCCTCAAAAGGCTGATGACTACATTTGCACTCAAATTCCGCTTCCTCAGTTTAAAAACAGCCCAGGATATGTTACGGCATTTAAACCCATTGTAAACGCTTCCGTCCACCACATTATTTTAGGCGCCTGTGACAAATGGATTGGTCGAAACAAGGCTTCTCGTCCAGGTCCTTGCATTAACACCTGTCGTACACATATACTTTATGCATGGGCACACAAAGGTGCCCCTTTGGTATTACCTGAAGGCAGCGCTTTTGAGATAGGACGCGGTACTCAGATTCAGTCGTTATCAATGGAAGTTCATTACAGCCGTCGTGAGGAAAATCCTGACTTCGCATCTATTGAGCTCACTTATACTCGCGAGCCTCAACCAAATCGAGCTGGAGTTATCCTTCTGTACAATGATGAAGCAACAATCCCTCCGCACTCCGAACATTTCCCAACAAACATTTCCTGCAGGTGTTTAAAGCAAAATTTTATGTATATATGGCCTTGCATACGTAAATGGTTTGGTTTAATCTTCGATCGTAATAAGTGTTAAATTAATGTTGGGATTTACGGTACACTGTTGTCATGAGCCCAAGGATTTGTATTACGCTTCCTATATATGAAATTACCATCAAAATTTTACGTAATTTAATGCAACCTACTTTGAATATAATTATCGCAATTTCTGGTGCTATCTCAAAAATAATTGTATTATAAAATCCTAGATTTTAGCCAGAGTACAATTTTTTTATACTATCGTTGAATTTCAGACTGCGTACCGAGGTTCCTATTCGCGTATTTGGTATAAGGACCCACGCACATGATCTTAATAAAGGAGTCTACGGATACTACCTTCGGCCGGGAGACAGAAACTACCACCTCTTAGCCAAAGGCAATGCCCAGTGGCCCCAGACATTTTATAGACCAACCCAGCTGTCGGCGAGCACTGATAGTATTCGATTGGAAGACGGGGATATTTTGATGGCACGGTGTGTTTACGATTCGACAGACCGCGATAAGCCGACGTCCATGGGATCCACACATGCTGACGAAATGTGCAACATGTATCTCATGTACACGATTGAGTAAGTCAGTTAGAAGACCTAAATATTTTAAGAACTTGCTTTTTTTCCAGTCTAGACGTAACAACCGAGATTGCATCTGCTTAACCAAATTCCGTCATACGTTAAAAGCTGAATTTGACATGATGTATTTGTCGTCGATTGTCAATTACTAACACTCATTTAGCTGCTTTGGTGCTTAATCTAGCTGAGTATATGAACACCTACTGAACTATCATTCCTGACATTCTTACCTAATCGTTATTTGACATCTTGATGATACCAAGGACAACATGACTTAAATTTAACGCATTTGATTTCATAGGGTCATTTAAACCCAGCTGATGTTACGGCCATTCAACAGTAGGGTAAAACCAACATGCATTATTTGTCGGTAAATACGATTACTTCTGTGGTCCCCAAAGCTGACAGTGTTTTGCATTTGAGGATGTTAGACCTGTTGCAGTTCCAGTAGTGGTTAGAATAGCTGGGTTTGAAAGTTGTACCAGGGAGCCAAGGTTTCTTAGAAAATATGTGCACCTGGAACTGTGATGAATCAGAAACCCTAATTGTTTCTCTACATAGAGATCGGAACGAATTCTTTACCAGATGATGCTTCGATCATTGCTTGAAGATAGATCTACTAAACCCTGTTGTTGCGTACTGTTTTTAAACTAAGGCACTAAAGTTTATTAGCGCATGAATCCACCGAATTATAAAGGCCGTGATTTACCCAAATCAACTCTGTGGGATCCACTTAAGCCTAGAACCTCCCCTCCTCAGATTCGTAGGTTTAGGACACTCAATTACAAGTATTCGAGTCTTATTTTAAGCGTAACAAGTCGTGAAAGTTCATTTTGGTTAGTAGTTCGCATAAAGTTCTTTCATTTGCCTATTGGTGAAGTTGTGTGTAATTTCAAGCAGTTATACTTTAGCATCTCTGTGGAATTGTGATACCACGAACCATTTACACAACCGTAAACCCATGGTCCCCGATTTTAAAGACCTTCAGGCTACTGGATTTTGGTTGGATTATATTTTTAGAATTGCTAAAAGTTCATTCAGTTGATCGTAATAGAAGTTATTAATTTCCATCCCCCTTTTTTATCCTCACAAGTTATGCCGCGCCATTGGCCGAACCTGCCCACGCACTGAAAGGTAGTGATGAACTCAACCGTGCAGGTAGCCAATCAAATTATTCGATTTAAAAATATCCCCTCACGGGGCGCGTGGGCGTTTGCCAGTTTGCTGCCCAAATGAAGTCGATATTTCAACACATCATGCCAATTTTAGCCCTAACAGAGGTTTAAAATGAGTTGAGTGCATAACTTGCGTGTGCCATTATCCGCCTAAGTCAAATGTTACAATAAAACTAAAAGTAGACAGTTTATTTAATGTGCTAGCCACTTCACCTACGCGTGAAAAAAGTAAATTTAATGGGTTCCGGAACTTCAATGGTACTGAATAGGAGCTTCTTACATTCCAGGGAACATAGGGCATTCTATAAAGCCCAGGAGAGTGTCTGAAATGCGATTAACTGATCGAATTGATAAACAGGAATATTTTAGTCGCATCCTTAGTGTATTTGTGGTGGCGATCTTCTTGCTGATTTGGTCCTTCTCAATGCTTGACTGGAATGCGCTTCCTTTTGGGTAATGTCTTTTGCCACAGTCAAGCCTATTACGAAAAGGTTCGCCGGTTGTCTAATGACATTTATATAGTCTGTTTTTTAAAGGGAATTACTTTAAATAAATCGATCGCCAACGGTACATTAGTATGTACTGATAGCGGACTAAACTACAAATCTTCTAACTGTCCAGTAAGTAAAGTTTGAGGAAGCCCTGCATTTTGTATGTGTCCGTATGGTATAATCAATGTCCAAGTCAAAGGCAATATAGTGCCCTACAAGCAGTCCGAAATCATGCATTTCTCGGCTATAAAGTAAGTAAAGCATCATTCTGCCTATCTAAGTCGTCTTTCGAGGTTGATAAATGAATCTAGCACAGCAACCACCGATGATACGCTTCAATTACCTTTTCATCAGAGTTAACTCCAAATATGTGTGAGGCATGACGTTAACTTTTCATAAAATGTTTCATCGCCAATTCTGCAAAATCCGATTGGATCAGTTCGAATGGTTCAAGGTACTAAGCTAATGGCATAGCTGTGCCCCAGAAACACTTCACTCCAACTTGCGGGAAATTTATCGAAAGAATTAGATCAACCAACTCTAAGGTATTAGTTTGTTTTGTGGGCTGACTTGCACAAGACTCAAACAGGTCGCGTTTTTAGCTCCACGAATTCGACGAATTTGAGGTGGACTGTAGTGTTAACACCCGAACAATTACTTGTATAAAGACCACGAGTAAGAGGAACGTTGACGTGGTGTCCTACTGGACTTGTAGTTCTGTTGTAATACCCCTATGTCTTACGAGCTCACGCTTTCTTGAACTTGCTGAATGTGACGGGTACTCCATCTATTAAAACTGCAATTAGAAATGGAATTTTACGTAAGCCTAATTGTCTGCCTCCTCATCCCTCAGTGCGAATTACGAACTGCCGGCGGAGTCTGAGATGTGTGTCGATGACATGGTCCCCGGGGTCTGGGACCACGCGCCACCTGAGTCGGTGGATTACGTTACCAACGTTCCGCCGTCTCCGAATTCAATGCCCGAGACCTCCCCAGCCTCCACTCCGCGCTTCATCGACTTCCTGTTTGATCGCAAGTGGTCAGTTGAGGATGTTCACCTGGGAAGTGTAAGCTGCCGAAATTGTCGTGACTCGTTGGCATTTTAAGGCCGTTGGGGCGCCCCGATGAGTCACAGCTGTCCCTGCTTTCCAGTAAATGCTCATTCAGCAGCATGTGGGTAACTTAGTGTTGAGGAACACAAGGCGACCTGTCCTCCCAGAGCTCAAAACTACCCGTTATCTTTCAAACACTCTTTTCTCATTACCTCCACCTTCATCTAACACATGTCCTCGAATAAACTAAATATGATAATAGTGCTATAGAATAGCCATCAACAAGGACTAGATGTATCAGTCAACCAGAAAATAATTTCTTTTCACACAGGTAGTTACTTTTCAAATGCTCCCTACCTTTACCTACTGTTGTAAGCTGGCGGTAAAAGGTACTTAATGGTTTGCTCAACTGTGTGTATTAATATTGAAGTACCTTTTGGTGATAGCAAACGGCATCTCATAATAGTGTGTGACAGGTTTATCAATTCACAAATTAATTAGGTCACCGGGATTGGAATGACGGCTGATGACGACGGCAAAACACACCTCTTTATTCTTCGGCGAGGCGACAACCCGTGGGAGGAGAACTCCTTTGATCGCGACTACAGATACCGTGAATCTAACATCGAAAGCGTCCCGTCGCCGATTCTGCATGTGGATGCGGAAACGGGTGAGGTCGTTGAGGCCTTCGGCGATGACCTCTTCGTCCTGCCCCACGGCCTGTCTGTCGCGAGGGGCGCGAAGGGTGAACCGGTGGCCCTCTGGGTGACGGACGTTGCGCTCCACCAGGCCATGAAATTTGACTGGGGCAAGTGGAAGAAACCGTCAATGGTCCTCGGAAGGCGCGCGGAACCTGGAGATGATGGAAATTCGTTCTGCCAACCCACCGACGTTGCCGTCGCTAGCACGGTAAATGTCCAGCATTCGCTGAAGCATTTTGAACTAGCGAAGCGCTTGAATACCAGGCCGGGTTGTCGTTTATTAAAGCCACCTGACTCCCGCTTTATCTGATTTGCTACACGCGATATGTGTTGATGTACAGTCGATTTTTGTTGTCCGGCCCCCACAGTCCATCAAAAAACTTTCATAACTATAAGTCATCAACTCATCACGAATTTTGAAAATTAGCACCTTAGAGATTAGGGAAAGGGGGGGCGTAGCAAGTTTTTCAGAAATCGCCATGTGCAAGTTTTGGTTGAATCTCGTGATTTATTAAGTCAATTAAATAACTTGGGGCAAGTTTTTAACGTTTTATTCAATAACTACCAGATCCTTGATTCGTGGTAAATTGAATTGGAGGTTGCATATTGGGGGGAACTGAAGTTACGCCAAAGGGGCTGCTGTGGTAGTGATTTCTGGGCATGAACCGGGTTAAGGCAACCAACTAGCGAAATCTCGAGTTGTAATCAGCAACTATTTTTTAATTTCTTCCCTTCCCTCTATATTGAGTCCTTTACTTATTCCTGTCAATTTTTTGTCCAGGGTGAGATATTTGTGGCAGATGGCTACTGCAATCAGCGCATTGTAAAATTCTCAGCCCGTGGCGACTATGTGTCTGAGTGGGGAGTCCGCGGTGCAGACACGGAGTCCAACAGGGGCTTCCTTGTGGCCCACAGTCTGGCCATCATTCCGGCGTCCGAAAGTGGGGCGGTCGAGCAGGTCTGCGTGGCTGATCGGGAGAGGGCGCAGGTCGACTGCTACGACCTCCAGGGGCGCCGTGTCGCGCAGTACGGCGGAAGGGCTCTCCAGCCATCCGTCTACGCAATCACCTTCAGCCCAGCCCACAAGTGAGTTGTTTTTGCGACATTCCCGGGGTTCCTATTTTAAAACGAACTTCTTCAGTTCTGTGGACGCTTGGTCTGAATGCAGTTAGTATCTTGTAAGTTAAAGAGCTTTAATTTCAACGCGCCGGTGTTTGCCCGACCATTGCGTGCTAGACGTTGGTGATAAAATGTTTATTACAGGTTTGAGATTGACTCTTTTCCCATTACCGACAAGTGTATTCCTCGACATAACATTGGCAGTTATGGTGGTGGCCAGCTTAATGCAAATCAACTCCCTATAGTCTTCCAACCAAAACTCTTCAGTATGTGAGTGATTTTTGGTGATGCGGTGAGCAGATTTTCAGCTCATACTGCAGAGTGCTTATGTAGCCTTCCTTTCGTTTGGGTGTGCATCACTTCAAGTGGGCTTATCAATTAGTGACCGATTTGAAATAGCGCCTCAATTATGCATTCAATTCAATGTGCTAGGTTCGTGCGGAATCAGTTGTGTGAGGTCTCACGCGCGGCTAGTTTTTTTTTCATGAATCTGCAAAGCCCCGAACCCAAGAGAACAGCACCGTTCGTTTGCCTTGGTCACCTTATTTGCTCGTAAATTGTATTATAGCCAAAATCCAACTTATGGTCAGAAGTTGAACATACTATGTCGATTATACCTCGTCTAATTTTGATTAAAAAAAAATAATAATCCGTTATTTTCGTGCAAAAATGTGGTGGAAAAATGAACGAAGTTTTAGTTCTGTTTTCAAGGTGAAATTAATTTGTTTAAATTGTTGTTGTTCTACTCAGCCAACTGGCAGTGTGTGCCTCTATTCACGGGAGCTGGCCCCCAAAATGTAGCGATGAGTAACGAACGCGTCTGTGCTTCTTCAGTAAACAGCATGATCTTGAATTTCATTCGTTCACTGCGAGCGCAATTGAGTGCTATACAAATAAAAGCACAGCATTGTCATCGAGCTTATTACACGACATCTATTGCCAGAATCCATAGCTTAATTGATTCCAATGCGCTCTTGCCAAGATCCTAGTTTGTCTCCTTTCTTCTGCAGCAAACTATTTAAAACAACTGATTTTCCCGCTTTTTTGCTTAAAAAGATTTTCATTCCAGTGTCTGCTTCCTTCCCTGCTTTATCTGTCTAGCTATTTAACTTGACTCTGAAATGGCTCTCAGACCAAACTAATCACCCCACGTGACAAAGCGAGTGGTTCAGATTATTGTTTTGCTATATCACAGAAAGCAGGGTGAAATTCCCTTGTATAATTCACGGATCCATCTGTACTCCGACGTAAATTACTCACATGTGAAATTGTGAGAATACTCAGCCGTTCTTCCCTCATTATTGGTGTCATAGAAGGGCGCTTGCGATCCAGCGTGTTACGGAAGGCTGATACGCCGCAGTGGCGTGAGCGGAGGTACCACGCGCACAGCGCGACTCAGTTGGTCTTCTTTGGAACCGCAGTGTCATGCATTTCCTGCCAGTTTGATTGATGCTTCTTGTCTACGCAACTGCTCTGCGTGTTATCAGCGAATGTCATTCTTGTAGAAAGGTTGTTCAACCTAAAAGTAGTTGGCATAGTTTTGTTCAAAAGCAGGCTCTGTTTTATTCTATTCCGTTGATAATAGCCTAAAGGGATGCCTGTTTTTGTAAGCATGGAACCATTTAGTGTGATGCAGCCAGTTTGGATTTGATTCAACCTCACAGGAATCCGCTTGCAGTCATGCGATCTGGCTTTTCGTAGAAGGGCAGTTTTATATCCTTCCGGTTTTGACTTTCATAAGACCAAGACCAGGCGCCATTTGAGTGGCTCTCAAACCGACTTTTCTCACTGTTTTATTTCCTAATGGTCCGATTATTGAAGTGATAAAGGTTTTCACTCCGTATTATTTGCTACTTTAGTCAACTTTTGTGAAGTGAGTAGGCCTTGTGTGGCGTAATTTCTGGGACAATAGAATATTAGGTGGAAGACTTCCAGAAGTTTTGCCCAGACCCTATTTGGAAACCTTTAAATATGCACCTGTTGATGCCAGGTGTTCAGAAATGAGCCACCAAATTCACATTACTTATCACAGTTCAGCAAGTCGTCGATGAATATGCATTCAAACATTACGCCAAATGTCCTGCACATAACGCAGAGTATTTTTGTTGGTCTAGACTCGCTTCTGTGGCGGAGATACTTCGAATTACCGAATCCAAAAACTCAAATAGACGCTGACAAAGCCTAAAAGCTAACAGTGCCAGTTCTTATACAAAAAAACATGTAGGAATTCATGTGACGTTCTAAAACAGGAGAGGTTTCAATAGCCATCGGTATTACTTTAAAGCAAATTAACGCCTGCCTTGCGTTCCTCTAGTTTGATGTTTGGCGTGACGGGACCTGCTAACGCATCCATGAGCGCCCTTGAACGTCTTCAAGCGTTGCTGGCTCTGGGCGTGGATGAAGACGATGCCGACGTCGTGGGAGGTCGCGGTAACCGCGCCTTCGCCTTCCTCCCCCTCCTCTCTGCGAACGGCTTCGATCCTGGACTCGGCTTCTACAAGCGCCTAACCAGACACAACATCCTCGATCTGGAATTCCAGCGTCCCCATGACATTGAAGTCAGTCCGGATGGAACAATGCTCTTTGTGGCGCAACTGAAAAAGCCCTATTTGTCGAAAATCGACATCGTCAAGTCAGGTTAGTGGAGGCTAGAGCATTGTCGTTTTCGTATTCACCGGCCAATTTCTATCAACGACAGATCTGCTGAAACTACAAGTTATTGCAAAACGATGCTGCCGATGTTTTGGGGGACGCAGAGTCCAAACGCTTGCTGACTTAGGCTGTGATTCACCAAGGAGACAGTTCTCCCAGTTTCTCCTAATTCATTAGCTCGCGTTTGCCGGGCAAATAAAAAATCTCGTTTCTTAATAAAACAGGTGTTTTGCTGACAGATTGTTTTAGAGATTGGGTGTAGAAGCTGTGACCTCGCCTAACCTACTGACCTCAAAACCTCGGCAGAGTGGGTTGTTTTTAATGTTCACTGAAATACTCCTGCGTCTGTGGGCCGCGCAGGCGAGCACGCATCAGGTTGAGTAGAAGCGGGTTTGTGTTTCGGGTGAAATTCAAGTATTCGATTTTCTTTTTTTTTTAAAAATATTTGCACACAACATTGTATTTTCCGACCTTTCACAACCTCTGCGGCGAATAAAATGACCACAATCTCGGGCTGCATGCTCGTAGTCTAAACCAAAATAATCGTTATAAATATTTTAGGACACTCTAATTAAGCGAAGCAGCGTTGCGTTAAGATATATCAAGGTGTAAGTGTACACTTTACAAGCCGGGTAAATGAGGTTGCTGGTGTGTGAGGTATTATACATAATGTCTGCCGTTTCCTTGGGAGAATACGACATTCCCCAGATCGCTCATTTTCCATACCTTTGATCAGGCTCTGCCTTCAGGTGACCGGTCGGAAAACTAGCACGCTCATCTGTGTTCAAACATGGCGTCGTCGATGGTGTTACTACTTCCTGAATGTTGTTTTTGCTCAAAATGTATGCGTGCTAGTGGTTGACTACCGCGTTTTGGTTATCTTTGCGATCCCGTCTAACGTGGGCTATTGTCGCTTAATATTTATACCTTGTCTTAGAAAAACACATTGCCTATTCACTTATCTTTTCATTATCCTCACGGAAAGCACTCTAAACAAACTATCACCAAAGTTCCAAGTTATATTTCATTCATTCGTGATACAGTGGATCTTGACCATGGAGCACGACTGCTCAGCGTGGGTCACCACTTCCGAAGGGTATAAATAGCTGCTTCTAACCTTCACTTTGACCAGCATGATCGTGCAATGCACGACGGTTAAGCTAGTCAGTGTATGTACTTCAGGTAAGAGGGCTAGTTTGGCACAGCTCGGCTGCAATTTCCGACTCTCCTTGGTCCGGTGTGTGGCAGTTTGGTTGTATTCGCTAATAATCTGTGGTCAGTAAGTTGAGCTGTAACAGTGAGGTGTTTTGTTCGTCAAACAGCCAAAGTTGCGGCGCTGCACCAGGCGGCCACTGCTTCCACGGGAAACCCTGCGCCCAACTTCACAATGCCTCCACGAACTCTCACACAGAAGATCTTCATCACGGGGGCCCTTGTAACCCTTTGTGCCGTCGTAGTGCTTATAGTCCTTATACTTTTCCGGAGTCGCCGAAACGCGCCATGGGCCTTTCGGAATCGTGCATTTTGGCCGAACCGCCCACGCGGTCGAATGGCAACCGGCCGAGGCGGGCAGAAGCGTTACGATGGTTTCCAGCCGCTCCATCGAGACGAACTGCAGGGCCTCGGTTCCATGTGCGAGAGCGACGAAGACAGCGACGAGGACGCTGGCGCCGATTCGAATGCCATCATTGACATCCGAAAGTTCGGTCCTTCGAGTTCCCGTCAAACACTGTTGCCATCGGCGCCGCCACATCCAAAACCAAACACTTCTCTTTCTTCCAGTCATCACATCGAAACTTGACGCTGTTTTTACCATTTTTTCATATTCTCAATATGCAACAGATTACACACTGTTTGGACTGTAAAGAACGAACACAACCATGCATTCACACACGAACCCTTTATTTATTTATTTATTTTAGACGAGTAAACCTAAGCGAGGTCTCCACACCCACATATCAACATGTCACAGTCTGAAGAGGGCAAGAGGATGCACCAATTGATTTGTGTCTGTTTGCGTGTTGTCCACGTCCTTGTCCTCGTTTCCGCTTGTGTGTGTGTGTGTGTGTGCCTCTCTGTGTGCACGGGCTCCCCTCTAACTGTGACTACTTGTGTGTGCGTGTGTGTGCGCGCGTGTGTGTGTTTTATTCCTCCCCCCAGGTTGCTCCAATGAGGGTTTTGTGTGTCCGAGTAACTGCATTCCTTCTGGCACAGTGTGTCAAAACTAGCACTCAACCAAACACAAATTCTAAGCATATGTGATTGTCCGATCTCTGTCTTCTTTGCCTGTGATGTCGAGGACTGAAAATGTAATAGCGAATCAAATTCTTACTTCACTTCTATTCTGTCTTCAGCTGGTGATGTAGGAGAAAATGACTTAACCTCGACTAGAATGTGCTTAGTTCTGTTGAGATCTGTGCTCACACTAGACGTCGCAGTCTATTCTAATCTTCCTACGTTTCTTGTAGATGGGTATAACTTGTCTAATTTTTTTTATGCAAGTGACTGCCAATCCTCTAGTACACCTTTCCGTGGCCACCTTAGTGACCACCAAGAATCAGCAACGCAATATACCAAGAAACAAAGACTTTGAATGGTGTAGATACGTAGCTACTACTAGGCAGTAACTTGCAATGGAGTCCGCATTTTCACTAGACAATGGCAATATCAGGAAACATTCCGGGTGGTAGTATTGTTGCGTGACCCCATGCCAGCCTGTGACTCGTATTACAAAGCGGAAGCGTTTTTGAGTACACCTAAAAAGGCGCCGTGTCATTTGGTGGGAATGCTAAAATCTGTGTCTGTCTCTGTGTTAGAGGCTGGCTCGTCAAGTCGAAGATATGCAAATCGATTTAGCCCAATGACTTTGCCATTGGAAGGCACTAATTTTCCAGCAAATCGCCTAGACGACGCATTTAACTTGATGTGAGTTTTGAGGTTTTGAGTCCCCAAATTACCAGAGCCAAATTTCAGATATTTTGCGTGTCGTAAACTTAGTGACGTGATCGACAGCTGTCTAGAATGTTTTTTTTCCACTGGTTGGCAATCTATCGACATGTTGGGAATGCCCTTCTTGCACCTGCACACGTTGCATCCTTAATGTCCTAAATCTGGCGCACTGGAATGCAAAATTTTAAACTACAGTTGAAGGACGCAGTCGTTGAGCATCAAGCCGAAAGACTGCTGCTAGTCTGAAAAGGCGCACCAGTCAATGGAAGATCGGTGTGTAGAATTAAAATTGAAACAACCGTCAAAATAGCCGCGGGGCTTGATTTATGTTATACTTATGTTTTGTGAAATTGTGCAAATTTTGTTCTTATTCCTGGTATAGTGAACGCAAGTTAGGTGTTAAACCGCTGCAATAGTATTTTCAAAGTATTTATCAAGCATACTGGTGTAAGCCCACATAAAACCTAGGTGAAGTGTCAACGAGCCAAAAGGCGAACAAAGTTACGGTGGTTTGCACCTTCAGATATGCGGTCAGACATAAGACAAGAATCATCGTCTGTTTTGGTGAGCCGACAATTGACGTGGTGCAGCACCGCTTATTTCATCGTCCATTTTAGAATAACGCTCCCTCGATGGTACCATGGCTTAGACACAATGGCACACAGACGTGAGCAGGTTGCAATAAGCATTCCACAACAACACGAGGAAGGCGCGAGTATAGAAAAGGAAACGGAACTTGCCAGGACGAATCAGATGCCGGAGTTTGATTTCCACCTCTCCATTAAAAAAGGATTATTCTGATTGAACCAGGGAGGGTAGACGTAGTATTTAGACTAGAATAAGCACATATCAAGGCTCGTTACCTTTGGACCTTTTTTGTCGTGAGTGTGGTGCTAAACTACAAAGTTGAAGGTCATCCCAAAATGGCTCTAGAAAAGCATTCCTTTGTTTGGACACAAAATGAGCTTCAAGCAAAAGGCCAGCCGTGGCGTGTTCACTTGGGTGGCCAAAAGACAAGCTAAACCCCCTCCGCTTTCTAGATTTCACAAAATGGTCAAAATTTGCATTTAAATATTTTTCTTGAAAGGCAATGGTGCTAATTATTGAGGATAAAATTTGTGTACACAATTGAATTAATCACTAAGTCCAGTGATGTATCCACGGGTACACTTGACAAGTATGGCCATTTGTAATCATTCAGTGTTATTTCCATGGTCTAAAGGCTGATTGAGTAACAAGGCATTACTTGAAAACCAATCAAAATTCTAGTGAATAAAAACTAAGCATTCTAGGGTAAATGAATATTCTCTTCTAGTGAGGCAACGATGAATTCATCTGCTTCCAAAAAGGGTTTTTTTCTTGACCTTGTTGTAAACGAGATGAGCTTGATTCTATAACTTTTGTCCTTGCCTACTTAATTATAGCAGAAGGTGAGTTGAGATGACCAGCATCTGACTTGGAGTGACATGATGTGCGCGTACTATAAAAGTACGGTGACAAGTGGCATGGCAATCGATTTCCGCATGCGGATATTGGCGCCTGGAGGACTCTAGGCCAACGAGTTCCTAGATAGGCACCTCAATTTCTGCCCACAAAGTCCTGTATCAATGCAATTGCATGCGTCTTAACCACTCGGGATATTTCCCACATCATGCCGGTGGCAGTCTCCTCGTTGAATTGCCTTTCAGTCAAGCGTTTGCCTGCTTCACCTCAGAAAATCGTGAGCACAAAGTGAACCCAGCTGTTGCCTGACACGTTGCACTGCACACTTCTGTGATGGTAACCAGATGTTCCTATGTTCCGACAAAAAACACTTCTTATACTGAAATTGGTGTTAAATGCTCCTGAATGTACTTTTCAACCAGCCTTTATTTAACTCCAACTTGGTATTCTCTAGTATGCGCTAGAATGTACTTTTGTGCACTTTTTCCTAGTATAAAATTTTGCCAAATTTTGCTTACTTGTAGTCAAAGAGCAAGGCATGCAACCAGGACCTGTGCTTCTGCAAAAGTCGCAGCAATTTAGCATGACATGTTTACTAAAATGTGTGAGTAGCATGCGTTTAATAATTCTAAGCATCCACTCAAAGGCCGTAATGAATGTCGGAGTAATCGTGATTTGCAGGCAGAAATCGAAAGTAGTTTAATTCATATCAAAGGATAGGCAAACTAATTAGGTAAATCATTTAATTGAACGCTTCTAATTTATAATTTTTGACGTCCTACTCATGATTTCACTGATTTATGGAGGATTGGAGCTACTCTAACAAAAAAAATTCCACAAACCCATTATATATCATAAATTTTCGCTGTAAAAAATGTCGCAAGTATCACTACATTTCCTCGTCTTGTGTTAAATAATTCTTTAAATGGGGTTTAAGTCAAGGCTAAGTATCACGCATTATCGACCAAGCCTACCGACTCTAAATGAAAAGCTTGTTTCACTGTGAATTAACCACTGGAGTTCAGTTCTACTAGTAACTGCCTTAGTTAATCAATTTGTTTACAAAATGCAAAAAAATAACAGAATATTCGCATGCTTGTTTGGCGTCTACCACCCAAGAACCAGACTGGAAATGACCGCCGCTCGAAGTCAAGTGGGCAAATGCGCTTGAATTTGTCTGAGAGGAACCTCGTGTGGTGCGTAGGTTGTGCAAGTGTTCCGCACTGGCATCTGAGGGGCCAAACGCTCCTCCACCATAAGTGTTTTTCTCAAGACACGGCGTGAAAATAAAGTGATTTTTTGCCCACAACTATCGTTCGTACTTGTGCTTTTACTCATCATCGTTTTCTTTTGAGTTGGTCGATTTCAATTTTTAATTACGGAAATGAAATTTCAGTCATCGATATCGTTCGATCGCAGTTTTTAACTCTCTAACAAAGTGGCTTGGATTAATTTAAACTTAACCAACATTGATAAGCATACTAAGGTGTGATTTCTCGCGGGTCGGGTGCCCTTAAGTTTTGACTAGCCAGGCTTATACTTTTTTTCATCCTACAAATTGAGACTCCTGCTGAATTATGGGTTTCAGGAGTATTTAATTCGAGCGTGTGAAAGACGTTTGACAGCCACGTGTGCATAGACATCAAAGCAATGTTTGGTTACCCACGACTCCACTTTGCGCCTTGTGTGCTAGTTTATTCACAGCAGCTCACACCAATCCATCTTTAAAATGTAGATTTAACTTTAAATTACCTTACGCTTGTAGTATCCATGGTATCCTAGGTGATTGGCAACAATTACTAAGAGTGGTCAGGAGTATTAAAACTATTGAGAAGATGAAATGAACCTCGTGAATGTGGCACGGCCACCTCACTTGATTTTTTGGTATTTGGAATTATAACACGACTACTAAATCACACTCATTGGACTTGACGGCAGTACACAGACAAGCCATAGGATGAAATACTACAGAATATCTTCTTTTCTTAAAATTTAAAGGAAGACGAGAAATGTCGATTACTCCTTCCTACCACCTCCATACTGGTCTTCATCATGTCGAAGAATCGGGAAGCCTTTGGTAGTTCCATTGGACAAGTGTGGGCATGCGAAAGGACACCACTAAAATCCTGCTCGAACTCGGCTGGAGAAGATGCTGCCTTGAGTGGCGCGCGACCTCTAACAAGTCTGGCAGTCCACCGCAGACTAAAAATGCGGAGTCTGTAGGTGTAGCTCCACCTAGCAACAAAATGCCAGAAGTTTACAGCGTGTGTTAGAACGTCGTCGGTAGGTGTCGGTCAGTGGTACTGAATGGAAAACGCTTATTCAACTTCCTTCTTTTTGCGGCGAATCGGAAAACCATCGTTTCACACAAAACAAACCAGCTTTGGTATTATATTCTCTCCATAAGGACGCCTACTCATACCCTTGAATACTAGAATTTGGGTTATGATCAGCAACCGCGGGAAAGTGGAAAAAACTGAATTGTTTGAGAACACATGGGACAAGAGGATTTTCGTAGATGTCACATGCTTTGTTGCAGGCGAAACAACGGTCACTCTATCGAAAAATTTGCAGCCCCTCAAGTGAATTGAATACGCGCTTTGGTGGCATTATGATCACCGTGACTGATGCGTGGAGGAAGTTAGCTTACGTGCATGCGAACTTCATTGAGGGCGTCAACTTAGTGGGTTAATAATTTAAATAATATTTTGTCTTTCAAGATTAGTACCACTCTCTACTGCTATAAACGGGTGTCAGATTTCTTGTTTAAGCAGATTGCCACCTTCTAAATTGGCACCAGCCCACCGATTTACTTACAGAAAGTGCTGGTAGTAAATTGCCCCCGTTAAAATTCCCCCTCCCTATGGTTTTGGCAAGCAAGACTGAAACTGAGGGCCTTATGAAGACCGAGTCAAAGAATCTGCCTACTCAGGAAACAGAGAACCTTAGTTGGTGTCATTACCAAAATCTTGGGACCTCTTTTTGGATGGCCCGAACCGGCAGTGCTCTTGGAGATCTGCAGGAGTTTGGTGTATCATCAGCTGAAGTAAACTCTTGGGGAGTTCATGGATTGACGGTCGACCACTGCAAATGACTAGCACATGCTCTCATTGAATCTAAGTAATACGCCTTGTCCATTGTCATACTCTTTCGCAAGTACCACAGCTTGCTTAACGTGTTAAGTTCTCCAATTCAGTCTTCTAGAATCATTTCTGGAGCAGGGTATGTCATGATCTCGGAGTCTTAACCAGTGTATTGTGATGCTTAACTCACATCACCCATAGTTTTGACCACACTGCTTATATGCCCATGCATCACTGCTCTAAGCTTTTGACAACTTATGCCAAGTTATCGGGATAACCGTGCGGCTACAATAGAGTTTTGACTGATAAAATCTGTTGTTTTAATGAATACTGATCACAATTTCTGCTAATTAAGATGCTTGATCAATCAGTAAACCTGTACCACTTCCAAAAGTTGGCACATTTTTGAACCGCTTGAATAACCTGGCCTCTCAGGCGGAAATCATATTGGATACTCACTGCTGTTCAATAGTAATGAAAAAAATTATTTTCGCATAAATGTGAAGGTGATTTTGTAGTAGACTGAAGAGAGTGATATATATGGGTCATTGAAAATGAGTCGGTGAAATGCACGTATCTGGTGTCGCACGAATGCAGATAGACGGACAAATACATACATATTTATATACAAGAGGAGGTGTGGTAAGGGTGGGGATTCCCAAGATAAACTGGTAATAAAATTCATTTAAATTCGAGTGAAATTGTTCTTTTGTGAAATAGGGTGAGTGGGGTTGGGGGCTCTGTCGGGAACTCTCCATCAGAGGCAAGTGTGCCGTACCTCAGTTCGTATGCAAGTCTGGCAGTGGACCTTGAAGTTGGGCTGCATTATGCAGTTGCACTTTTCGTAGATTTGGTGAGACGTGCTCTGGTGACCTCGGCCACAGCACATGTTCATACAACTTCCGTCGCCTGTGGTGTTCAAGCTGCACAGCCTGAAATCAGCAAACATGGCGTTGCTTAATGTTATCTGAGCGAAACACGTACAGCGCTGATTGCGTTAACATTTTGTTCTACGAGACCAGAGAACGAAGCTGTAAGAAATATTGATGTTTTCTGTGCGTCGGTTGTGCCCCAAACCGAGCCACTCCAAATGAGCATTGGTTAGGTCGATTGGCTGACCAGTATTGCTTTGAAATGAAGCATATCAACAGAAAGTTGAGATACAGACAACGGACCTACCTTCCCTGTGTCCCCAGGGATCCGCGCTGAGGATCAGGCTCGCAGTAATCTGGAGAGTGCTGGGTGAAAACCAGGTCTTCCAGTTGAACATACTCATCGACAAAGTCAGTGTCCTTAAAGACGGAGGCCATTAGGTGGCCGTCTTGGACGCCAGACACCATCTTCGCAGTCTGTTTGGGATTAAAAGAAACGCATTATTCAACTCCATTTTCGGTAGAGAGGAGAGTTTCTTTTGGAAAGGAGGATTTTTCATTGTATCCGCAAATATTAAAATTGCACATTTTACGAGTGTAAGTGGCGCTGGTGGACTGTAATTTCAATATAAAGTAGTGTTTCAAGAGGTGTGACTGCGGTACAAAACGGCTAAATTGTAACCATACGATTAACACATGCCAGCTATACGATCTACGACTTAAAGGTGCCATTGCACACATACAATTGTCAGTAGTATAAAATGAGATCATTTTAGAGTACACTCCTTCAAAGAAAAGAATCGCTTTGGATTCAATCACAAATTTAAATGGCCTTGTCACTTAAATGCGACAGTTTAGCTTGTGTTTGCATGCAATTGCATCCCATCTAAATAGCCTTTAAGATAATTTCTAATAGCATTTCTCTGGCACCTGAATTGTCAGTGATTCTAAGGTATGGCTGTATCCGCGTCAGCTTGCTAAATCCGTCACTTAACCTAAGCATCGATTGCGCGGTCCTGAACTGATGCACATTGTGCTTATCAAGCTAATCAAATTGGATGAACTTTGACTGGGAAGCGCGTGGTGTGAGCATTGGTGTCGGTTTGGTGGCTGGTGGAGAAAAGTTTCGCCTGACTAGTTGCATGCCCGTGTGATGCTTGATCGATTTGACACCGATGCACAAAGCTTCCATGACTAGAAGACAACCTTTGTGGGTATTTCGCCTTCGCCTACTCATTCCCTGCCTTGTCGATCATCCATGCATTTACTTTTATCTGTCGCTAAGCCTCGGCTGATGTGGGTCAATAGCAAACATTGTCGCCATCGTGCACTTCTGCCATTAATTAAAAGTCTCGATTTTGTGCACAAGACGCAATCCGGTTGAGTGAATCCCCATTGTCTCTGACCTCCCTCTTTACTTTAGAATGTCGTACTAATGGCCTAAAATATCGGATCACAGATATGAGACTTGAAACTACTTCGAGATCTAAACAGTTTCATGTAACACTGGCCAGCCGCAAGTCCACAGCATGCCTTCACTCTCACCTAGTCAAGGAAGTGGAACGAACTGAAAAAAGTAGATTGGTGAAGAAAGATCTTAGCACATTTTGGCTCGGAGTGAAGTGTAGTTCTCAGGGACCAGGATAAGAGTGTTGCTCTGAGCAGTCGACAGTTCAGCCCCTGAATGGAGCTTGATAGGAACTCGAGTGGCGCCAAACCAGCAGCGCATGTCGTACCACGTGTCACTGCATTCAAAGGTATCTACATTTACGACGTAGGGTAAGCCGTGACCTACTCAGTGTGATAAGTACTGCAATTATTTCTGTCTCAGGACCTAACTCGTTTACACCGGCCACATATTCATGTAAGTAGTGATAAAAGTGAACAAGCCCCTACTTGACTAAAGCTCACAGATGCGAAATAGCGCTTCGATCTTCTACTACAACTACAGGACTTGTGTACGGCTATTTCAAGTAACAAATTTGAGACTTTCGCAAAACAGTTTGATAGGTAAAAGGAGCACAGCTAAATTTAAAAACTTTTCAAAAGGGTCTGCGAAATAGGTAACATTTTGGTCAATAATGAGTGTTTTCGCTTAACACGACTGCTGAGCCCAAGGGCGAGGTATTGAACATACAATTGGTTGCTGTCCTGTAACTATTATTTGCAGCAATTGAAAACAATAGCCTGTGTTAATGATCAGTTGGGGACACGCACAAATGGGAGGTCCATGCAGAGGGGAAACCAACTTACAAGATAGCGTTGTCGAATGGCAGCTTTGATCGGTGGAGTGTCGATTCGTTGGAGTTGTCTGAAGCAAACCTTTTGCGTGCAGCTTCCACTAACTCCATGACACTTGCAGGCTTGCTTTTGGAGCGAGATCATCATCTAAACGGGATTTTTTAAAACATGTGTGAATCGCTGCGTTGCCCGGAGAATAAATAGTAGTTCCATTGCATTTACCTGTTAATTTCAATTGCCCTTATAACCGCACAAGAGGATTACTAGCTTTCTATATACATTCTACTGCTATATTTTCAACATTGGTGAACGCAGTACGTGTTGTGGAAACCAGCATGTGGTCTTGAACCGCATCGGAGCCACTGAGTAGGATCTGGCCCGATTACGCTTCCCTGATACCCACGATGAAGAAAAAGGCCGAAGAGGACGTGGACACAACCGTTTACTTCAGAGCTCAGCCACGTTGGTGTTGTTGTGTCTTGTGTGGGGTTTACGCGTGGATATTTATACCTTGGATGTGCGTCGTAGACATGCAACCATCGAAAACAAGGTGTGAGGATAATCTAGGATAATGAGGGGGAGTTGAGGATCCAGGCTGCTGGCGACATGCTGCGAGAAGGGGACCCTGTGTCCGAGGCTGGGGTGACCGGATAAACGAGTGTGAATCAACGCGACTCACAACATGAGCATTAGATTGCTAAGTATATATAATCGGGCGTATTATCGTAAGTGGGGTTTGGGGTTTTCCACTTCAAAAAAGTGTAGGCCTTCATTAAGGTGGCTTTTTCTCAAACATTTTACCGCAATTTTAGGAAACTACTTGATTATTTTAGTCCCTTTTGAATCTCTAACCAAATTGTGCTTAATTTCACTTTTTAGCTCCTGAAAACTGTTCAGGGGAACGTTTTTTGGTAATTCACATGCTGTTATAAGGAAAATAGAATGTCGATAACCTAAAATCTTGAGACCCGTTTACTTATCCGACTCACGCCCATCTTACTGACCCCTATTCAGTAATAAGCTAATACATTCTGAAAAAATACCTGCATTGGAACAAAACTTAGATAAATAAGGTCTCTTCTTCACTACCGGCCAAATGGCCACACACCCGCAAAAAAGGGCAGTGCTGACTTACCCAGGCACCAGCCATGTAATTATGCTGATTTGTCAGTTTCATTTTTGACGGCTGCTTTCGCCGTCTGCCTGCTCTCCGAGAAGTTCGGTGCAAAGTGGAGTTCGGCGGCTCCAGACCGGCACTCCTCACCTGCCTGCTCAGGTACGCGGGTGGGGCGTCCGTGCTGGGTGGCGAGTAGAAGCCATATGGATAAGAGTCCTCTGAAGTGGGCGTAAAGGGAGGGAGGGGGTTCTTAAAGGGGGTTGGATAAGTCGAGTGTGTGGTTCGGGGATGGTATCCCACCATTAGTAACCTTTTTTCATCGAACCCCAGGAATTGGGCCACGTAGCTCCGCGCGGTGTCCACGTTGTCTGGACAGCCGCTCCAGTAGTGTGTGCTCTGAACCTGGGCCTGCTGTTGCTGTCGTTGCTGTTGTGAGGTCTCCGGCTGAAACGAGATGGCATCGCTGATCTTGCGGAAGTTGGAAAGGTCGAACTGACGCCGAACGCGTCGTGACGCCGTGGACATGGTAGACGACGCGTAGCCTTGGGGAAAACGAGACATCTGCCCTCCGTCCGGACTGATTATCATCTCTGTTCCCCCTGTCATGCCGCAGGAACAATAGCGGATCTTATTCAGCGCGCAGTACCGGCCAATTTCAAAGATGAGTGCAGCCGCTGCGTAAGCGTGCACGACCGCCTGTTCCCGCGTGCCTTCACACGAAGAAGGAAAGAGCGGTGTTAGTGACGCGCCGAGTTCAGTACACGAAGTGTTTACACACTGGACGAAATTACGATTGGCTTTTAAAATTTCAGCACATCGACTACGAATTTCAGGTATGACGCTCGCCTTAATGAGTCCCTATGGCAATGCAATCAAAATTTAGGCGTCTTCTTAACACCTTGCATGGTAAACAGGCAAAATATTGTGTCATTTTCCTGAATTACCTATTATCTGTGACGATTTCTTCTTAACAACAAACGGAACAATATCTGCTCCTTTTTTGAGAGCATTTAAATCATGAAAGTAGGCCCTTTAATATGACTTAAATAAGGATAGTATCATAGGTTTTAATTGTCATCATAATTTTATCAAAAGCATACAGTGTGAAGTTATCAACTTTTTAATTATCGATGCTGGTAAACTCCGCGAATAATAAGCCTCAGTATCCTAAGAGTGTCTAATGACCGGACAATCTTTAAAATCCATCACAATGTGGTCCTCCTCTCACACAATCATGTCAGTCGAACAGCTCAATGTGATTCGGCCTCCTAGAATTCCCCCAATTAAATTCACCTCACCAAAGTCCTGCCGTTGGGATGAAGCCGAGACTTGTAGCCTTACCATTAGTGCAAACCACTGTTAGAAAGCTTGGGATCTAGTACGATCACCGAAATTCTGGTTGAACAGGCAACCCACCATCGATAGAACACACACAATTTTGCGTGTTGCTTAGAGCTATAATGGTGCTGTCAACAAGGCATTGTTTGTAGCGAGTGGCTTTTAAGGCTGGCAAACAGCCCAACTCATGCCATCTGTACAGTAAAATCACCAAATTTTTGTTAAAATCTTTACCGGAATAAAATTCCACTTGAAATCTACATTTTACATACGTCGCCGGCAAACCATTGTGGAAATTAAATTTAGCTGACTTGAGGCACCACGCATTGACGGGTTAATTTGAAAGGCTATCAGTCGAAAGGCGTCTTACCTCGTCGAAGCTCTGGCGACATTCGAGGCAAGGCTTCCACGGAGGAGCAGTTCCACCGTCTGTCGGAGAAGGTGTCGGGACAGTGGAAGCCAACGGCTCTTGCGGCCCTCAAGACGGGCAACATCGCGAAGCCGTAGCGGGGATGGTTGCAGAACTGCGCCTGTCGAGGCCGGAACCCTAAGTGGTACTGCGCTATCTCGCACTCCCGAGTTGTGAACGCCGGTGCTGTCGTATCCCTCGGATAGTCTGAGCTTTTTCGCAAGTGGTAAACTCCCCTACAAAGCAACCGGTATAAACGTCACTAACCTCCTCTACGAAGTTATTTTTAGCAATAAAATCGAGGCGACCTGAATGCCCAAGTACACAGCAACCAACTTACCGAATATCAGCTAAAAAGCCAGGGATTATTCATGGTAGATGACTACTTAACCGAGTCGTCGAAGCTCATACGGTTAACCTTGTTGCCAATCATGTTTATGCACGCACCTTAACCCGGTCTCTTCAGCCTCCGACACAGGGTTTTACTTTTCGCAGCATGTCGCCAGCCGCGCGGATCCTCAACTCCCCCCTCATTCACACGGATATTTATCTTGGATTATCCTCACACCTAGGTCTCGATGTTAGCTCATCAAAGACTCACGCATATGAGGTATAAAATCACACGCGCGAACTCCACACACGACGACAAATTCGTCAAATTCTCGAATAAACGGTTGACTCGCTGTCCTTCAGTGGACTCCATCCTTGTTGGGTAGTTAGTGGTATATGGCGTCACAGCAACCCTAATCACCCATAATTTAAGCGCCCAAAATCATTCAGCTCGCTCATCTATTTCGCTGTCGTGAGACCAACTCATTTGTCGTGGGCTTTTCCATATCAATTCTCAAAGCACATCCAAGATTCCCTGTAAGGCTTCGTTAAATTGCGCTATTAAACAAACCGCACACTAAATTCCACGCCCTCCAAGCTTTGCAGAAATCATGGGAATTCGGTAATGTACCAATAGGTCCTGCCAACTCGGTACATCCACACAAGATAGTTTACAAATGAAGTGCCAGTGCCCTTGCAGATAACTTCGGAACTACGGCAATAGTTTTAGGCTCACGGTACAAGTTTTGATTTGATTCATACATCAACTAAAGTGAACATTGCGTCGTAATCTTTCGAGATTAAAAATTGAATTTTTCTCCCTGAAGTCTAAAGATTCAAACATTGAATCAGTATGTGCAACCTGTGACTCTATGTCGGAGACATTCGAATTCAGTACAAATTCGATTCCTATAAAGAATGGCAATTAAAGGTTGCTCCACATCACCCCGCGTCTAAAGGCTACAATTTTACCTCATTCGACCCGCATACTAAACCTGTGTAGCACAGTGCATGGCGCAGATCGTCATTTAACTTGGCTGTTTAACGCACAAATTGTGGTCGGTCGCTGCGAGCAAGAAGTGCAGAGCGCACAAGCGGTCAGACAGCCTAGCCGTTGTAGCTACTATATGCCACTAAAGTCCTCGAGTGTTGTTTTAGTGCCAAGCACACAAACCCCGAGCGATGCAATCCTAACCCCCACACAACCCGATTGAAGTAATCCTAGCCGTCGTGGACGGTTATTTGGGCCTTTCAAGGATTTGATATTCACGGACCACCAGGTGTGATGGTGTTCCAAAACAACGCCGCCAGCCGAACCTCGTCGTCACAACCAGACCCGCCGTCATTCGAGCCACGTGGGAATGGAACAAGGTTGCTACCAGGTTAGGAAGTGCTAGTCCGTCTCAGACCTTTTTAATGGGATGCTGAAATTGTTGTAGCTACCCCAGCTATTATCTAGGGCGCCAGTAAACCTACTTATTCATCGTGTTAACTCCCTGCAAAATAAAATTCCGTGGTGCGTTGATTTATGTGTCTCTTTAAATAGAGAAAAAAAATAAAAGTTCATGAAAGTTGTTACAAAACGAGCCACATCGTATAACTTTATTACTGGCTTTTGGCCAATTCTTGGTTGTCAAATAAAGTTCCGACTGAATTCCATTCGCGAAAACATTCGTGCCCTATGCTGGTCATTGTGATAAATTACCTGGTCCTGATTAATGCCAACCTTAACTGTATTTTTATGGTTTTTCCTAAGGCAAGTGAAATATCAGAAGCCTTTTTGTATGCATAAAACATTATTGAACTTGACACAAACTCGTTATGGTGAAAATCGCGTAAATGCTAGCCCCTGCTGAAAGCTTTTTACAACCAAATACAACTCTTGCTGGTGCCTGTCTCGATTCTGCAAGTTAATGCCTTAAATGCGTTGCAAACGAATTGGGTCTGGTGTCTCAGCAAATAAACCAGAATTTGATGCATTCTACGTCTGTTAATTCAGTACCTGAGAGCATCGCATATGGAAAACCAAAACGAATTAACACCTGTTTATGGGGTTCAGTTGAATGATATATGGTTGATATCGTTGTTTAGTAAAAAGTTTCATCGAATTGAAAGTGAGTTGCCTTCTTTATCTGACATTGGAAATGTCGCTAATGCAGTGAAAAGAACTTATTCCATTGGAAGTTCTTCGCCCAAAAGGTTTACGACCCGAGCAACTCAACTACTGCCATATCCTTTAACACTTTTGACGAAGGAGATTTTATTTATTAATGATTCACTGCTAGAACAAGCTTCAGGCACTCTAGCAAGTACTATGAATATCTGCTGCCGTGGGCAAAACACTAGCTAAGACCACAGCCACCTCTAGAATGGCAGTTTACTTGAATGCTTCAGCATTTCAGCGCCAATGTCAGCATTCCAAAGGGTGATATCAAAATGAACCCCAATGTACACGTAACTGTCATTCAATATCTAGGTCCACTGTTGTTTTAAACAACCTGTTCCCGTAATAAGAAGGGAACCTATATTTGGCTCTCACCACGCCCAATGCTTTCCCATAACTCCAAACCTTTCTTGGCTTTCTCTCTGCACATGCGTGTGTGTTTGCAGGGGAGGAAATGTAATTAATAAATGTGTTTGCGCTAGCCACACATTACACACAACCAGCTGAAAATTGGATGGTTTTTCAGAGTGGCCCGTGGTGTGTAAATTCGGGGAAGATATGTTCCAGGCTCTACGAGTTTCTCAACTAGATTAACGCTCTTGTATTTTACTTATTTCGGTTCTTAAATCTCACGAAATTCAAGCTTGAAAACGAATGGTTAATTTCAGGTTTAAAAGGACTATGGTAGGTCATTGCTTGTACGGACTAGGCTAAATGGCAAAAAAATTTGGTTACGATTCTGCTTACTGAACTCAGGCAATGGAATCCGAGTTTTTCTAATTGTGATCCTTGAATAGAATGGCATACCGTCCGTTGAACGAAAGCTGACACACGGCGCTATCATTAAATGCCTCACACCACAGCACAAATTCCAAGTATTCACTAAAAAGTCACTTTCCTCCGAGTGAACCTGATCGTTTATCAATAAAGATTTCCATACTCAAGAGACAACTTGTAGTGGGCGATGACGGAAAGCTTGAAAGGAAAATATTTGCTTTAAAAAGAATTCCTTTGTTTAGCTAATTTTATCCGACGCTGAATCGTGGTGAGGCTTAGAGCTACTTACCACATGGTATAAGAAAGCACCAACGTATGTCTAAATACAATGCATCTTTTATCTGACCTGAAAAAAACATTGTTTATGCGAGGTCTCCTTCAAACTCAAAGAGAAGGGTAATTTTGGTGAGGCCATTCATGAACAAAGCTGTGAAAAGAGGAAAACACAGGCCTCAAGGCAGCAATAAAAGAAAGATTTTTTGCAACACAAACAATGGGGTAACCTGCAGCAATGCCATCATCAATGTGGGGAAATGTCTTCTACCTGAGTAAGTCAAGTACAGAAACTAACCTAGACTACGCCATTTTTGGCTTGAAGGCAACTTTCGAACCGAAATAATTGTTCCAGCCTAGGCGCCAAAATGAATGGACCCTGTAAACACCTCGCCCATATAATCGACCAAGTAAACGTCATCATGGAGCCGATGGGTGCATTTTCCCAGTCTTCAAAGCCCTCTCACCCCGATGCGTCGGTGCAGTGTAGATGGCCAGAGGAGATGTGAATCACTCGTCACAAACACACACACACACACACAACCAGCGCGTGCACAGTCTAATCGTCCGAGCGGACCCCTGGCTCGGTGCGTGCGCACTTCAAAGGGACGCAGCGCACGACCGACCGCCCGACCGACCGAGGGGTGAATGCCCTGACTAATTCCCACGTGCCCCATTGTGCCAAGACGTCGACATCAAAGTTACGACCATTGTGGCCGATACACCGGATGCGCGGGCTGTGCTAACCACCTTCCAGTAGAACTGTTCCCCTTAGAACTCCCCCGAACACACGCGGTTTAGCAGGTTGGACGCAATGGCGTCTGCCCGAAAGAATTCAAGGCGTCAAGTTTGATCTTGGCGTGTGGTTGTCCGTGTGAAAGAAGTTCTACCTTGAACAGTGCGTCAGAAGGGGGAGCTTCCATGCCCGTCTGACCTCACAATCGACTTGTGGGGTTCAAACGGTAACCTTTCTCCAGAGAGGAGACACACACGATGCTTGCCTCGCTTTCACACACCCCCACGAAAGGAAGCGCATAAGGTCGTAATCACGTAGAAATGCTTTGGTGTGGGAACGGATGGTCGTCAAGTCAAAATGTTGATTAGTCGAATAATTCTCGTCCTTACCACTGGAAAGTGGTGAGCAAATTCTCCAACACGGCCAACGTGTGGGGATGTTATGTTACAATGACGCCAAGATGTGAATTACGTGATTGTCAAAGTTAGTGTCAGATTTGAAACCAAATTAAATACGATAAATGATAGTTAATCAATTCATTAATTAATAATATACTCATTACTCTTTCCTGTAAATCACAGTTTTCAAAAATTTTTAAAATTCGTATTTTGAAGAAACTGCTTAACTTTTCTCAAATAAAATTATTTCAAAGTATCACGTTTTTGCTTTTAGATCAGATTAAAATCTGAAATAGCAAGATCAGAAGAATATGGCAAGTGCTTAACTTTGGCCCAATCTCTTTGGCAAAATGCCGTCTACTTTGCATTATTAAAAGATTATGCCTTTTCGATTGGCCAAAGTGTCACGCTTTGCATGAAAGTGATAAGTGATTTGGGCAATTTGCTCACAGTCGTGCGCTGCCGTTATTTTCTGGTCACGGGAAAAAATTAGGACTGGAATTACACCTCCGTAACCCGACCACCAGACTTATAACAACAGTTTCATTGGATGCACTTCGCATTGTGCTGTAATACACAAACCATTTTTCATCTGCAGCTGTCAGGTGACCCAAGAGAGGTTCGTTTTGATGATGGACGAATGAAAAAAAAAGGTCTGCGAAAACCCAGTTTATTCGCTTCGTTCTCTTAACAGA